CTTTACCTTGTCGAAAGCTTTAGACATGTCGACAAATGCTACTCCTGTGTGCTGCCCAGCGGCTTGTGCTTCATTGATGTTCTCTACAGCTAGCGCTAAGGCATCTGCTGTGGAATGCTGGTGTCTGTAACCAAACTGACTAGTAGGCAAGAAATTGTTCGTGTTGAGGTACTGCAGAAGCTGCTTATGAACAATACGTTCAAGCAATTTCGACACTATCGGCAATAGGGAGACTGATCGGTAATTCTTGGGTTGGCTGGGGTCTCCAGCCTTGAACAGAGGCCGTATCTTACCCACCTTCATTGCCGCAGGAAACTGTCCTTCTCTCAATGACTTATTAAATAGTAGCGTGAGTGACGGTGCCAGGATGTCAGCATGCATCTGGAGGAGACTTGCTGGAATATCATCACTCCCAGTGGCTTTTCTGGTGTCCAACTGTTCCAACATTTTCCGAGTAGTTGCAATGGAGACTGGCAAGAATTCCGAGAAGTGCACCGCAGGTGGAGGCCCAAGGGGTAGGCGTAGCTGTGCAGGGCGAGCTGGATCTTCCACAACTTTCGAAAAAGTGTCTCGAATCGCATCCACCGTGCACTGTGGATCCCTGCACGTCGACTGTTTGCCTGTCAACTCCTTGATTATTTTCCAAGTCTCTCTGGCATTTCCAGTACATTGCTGAAATTTGGAGTTGTAGAATTCCTGTTTCCGGGTCCTGTTGTAGCTAGTTGCCGCACGTCTGGCTGTACTAAATTCAGCATAAGTCTCCTGTGTCTTAGCAGAGAGCCACTTTCGGTGCAACCTATTCCGCTTGTGTAGTAAGTACAACAATTGCCGGTCAATCCACGGCACTGAAGGCTTCTTCGTTCTGTGATTACTTTGAAGTGGGGCATGGACATCCAAAACCTCAATAAACCGGCCAGACCACTCGGTCCACATGGCGCTTGGGTTGCCGGTAATACTACACAAGTTCTTCTGGGTTAAGTCACGCCGGAAGTGATCGTGGTTTATCCGGTGATAGTTGCGGTATAAACGTGTGGTGTCAGATCCACGAGGCACAATGAGGTGAAAGTCACTGGCCACGGCAGCATGGTCACTGAAAGCGACCGGGATGATCTTCGCTGTAGTGGAAGGATCAAAATTGTTCAGTATCAAATCGAGGGTGCTGTCTTGTCCTGTTGAGCTAAATCGCGTAGACTTGTTGACACCGTGATGCAGAGCATAGCTGTTCAGCAAGTCAGATAAGTAGTGATACTGAGGGTCCCTGGCACTTAGGTCAATATTCACATTAAAGTCACCACAAACGATAGCATTTGGCTGTGGCCTTAGAGCAGCGCAAAGATGTTCGTCTAGCTTGTCCCAGTAACCCACAGGTTCAGATGGAGGGCGGTAGATCGTTCCAACAAGACAACTGCGGGGCCTGCAAGCGACTTCACACCAGCAACTTTCCACACCATCAGTTGTTATGTCGTCTCTTGGTTTTACCGGAAGACATGACTTCCAGTATATGCAAACTCCTCCTCCTACTCTACCACTACGGTCTCTGCGTGTTACACTATATCCAGTCAGGGCTATTTCTTGGTCCGAAACAGTGGCGTCGAGCCAGGTTTCGTTGACACAGACTATATCCGGGGCGTTGAGTTGTTGTGTGAGCAGTAGGATGTCATTGAGTTTGTTACGCAGGCTCCTGATGTTGAGAAATAGAACGCGAAGTGCACTTGGGTGGGTAGGAGAAGGTAGTGGAACTGAGGGACTAAATGAGTCAGCAAGGGGGTTAAGATTGGGAGTTTTATTAGTTTGTCGTCCAGAATCAGGAAGGAATGGTGGCGCAAGTGGATTGAGCGACGCACTCAGTTCTCTTGAGTGATGCGGTCTGATTTGAAGCGCCATTCACGAACCGAAATGCCACTTGGCCAGAAGTCTAGACTCTGGACCTTCTGCCAATGCTCCTCCGAAATAACAAGGTGGGCATACGCCAGACCAAAATACCGTGCCGCAGATACTGAGCATTTGATGACAGTCACACTGCGGTCCTCGCACCATTTGGCCCAACTTCTGCGAAAACCAGGCTTAGGGTGAAAATCATTTTTTTGAGAAAAATGATGTTTTGTAAAAAGGTTGTGTCGCGTCGACGCTCGAGTGCAGTGAAGTGGAACCAAAGAGAATCTCGCTTGTTTGAAGAAGTAGCAGTCATGGCAGGAAGGGTTTCAGCAGTCAGGGAAGTCAAAGGGCTTCCGGTAGAATATTCCCTGCTACTCCTCTAGTCACAACGAAGAGTTTTTGAGCTGATCGAACGGATTCCATCTCCTTCACTCAGGAATGGCGAAATTTCTGCGCTAGCTGCTGCTTGCGGAAAATGGTGAAGAAATCGTCTCCAGTTAGAGTCGTGATGGCGATAGCGAGGAGAACCTGGACGACATCGATCCAGCCAATCGAAGTATGGAGATACTAGCTGTTTCTGGGCCTCACGCAAAGGGAACACGCGCAGCAGAGCTCATACGTTTGCAGCAAGTTCACGAGGAAAAAGGCTTGAAGCGCAGTGTGAAAACTGTTTTGAATTGAAGTCCTTGGCGATGAAGTGCTACTGAATGCCAGGCGAATGAGCGAGCAGATCGAGAGGCCTCCACTCGAGACTTTCCTCGCTGGACAGCTAGCTGCCAGGGATTGTACGGCGTGCCGAGATAATCCCGAGATTTCACTTGCTGGTCAGCACCAAGCAGACACTGCAGCACGCCAGCACACTATGCGCATACTATGAACAGTGGAACAGTTTGAAAGGCCGTGTTCTTTCTGGTTTCTGAACAGTTGTACTAGATTTACCCTTCAAAAGGTGCCATCTCTACTGGAGTCGGGTTTCCTTGTGGTGTATAGCGCCAGAGCATGCCAGTACATGTATTCAGCCCCAGAATGTGCTGAGTGAGGAGCAAACAAAACATGCAGAACTGTGCATGGCAGCTACAGCCTGCAGCACCAAGAGGCCACAACAGGCCTGCCCCCACATGCCTACCTTGTCATGTCACCTAAACAAAAATCATCCATGTCTCTTCCTTCACTCTGGTGGATCTCTCTTCATTTCTTTCCTGTGATAACAATTATTTTGTGTTTTTTTTGGATTTTTTAACACAATACCCTGATGTGTTTGAGATACTTTTAATACCACTATGAGTCGACACACACCTGTAATATTTTGTTTCCTGACCTCCCATGCCCAGTAGAAGCTGAAAATGGGAAAAAGTCATTTTTGTGAAATTTCACCCTAAGCCTGGTTTTCGCAGATTCTGGGCCATTTAGCGATTGAACCTGCCGAGCAACCGACATCAACACGGCCAACGTAGACGGCCTTGCACCTTAGCCGACTGGCACCCCTTAACCGGTCGTGCTTGCGTGCAGGGCGCTGATAGCAAGATGTCACCGTTGCCTGAAGTGCGGGCTCCGTTACTGAGCCTGCATTCGTCCTGTCTGGTGCAGCCTGGGCAGCCTTGGCACGAAAGCCATCGGTAGCAAGCGCAGCCGCAGCCCTGGAGTAGGAGTGGGGGTGCATCTGCGCCTGGCACGCACCCACAGCCTACGCGTTGTAACGAAAAATGCGAGATTTGCGTATGATAACATCCAGGGGCGTAGCCAGGATAGTGATCAAGGGGGGTGCCACGACTTTCCCAACACAAAAGTACATGCACTTATGTTGGTCCTTTCATGCACATTATTCGATCCGTGAAATGGGGGGGAAGCAAAATTCGCTCCTAATTCGACGCTGAAGAGCAATCAGTGAATGGTAAATCTCCAATCAGGGAGTAGTAATAAATATGGTATTTTACTACACCCTGGCCTGCTTCCAACTAATGATGGACTAAGTCCTGGATGCTGCTTTCTGAGAAATTCTCCAGAATTATCACACTCTCCATAGAACTTTTAAAGTGGGATTTCTCGAGCCATTTTTCCCCTTCGTCATGTTTGATAGTGCAGTAAGGCATCCTTGATCAAACCTACACTATTCCCCACAAAAACTCAAACTGCACTTCAATATTACTTTCACTCTTCTACTGCTGTATCCACACTTGCAATGCATGAAAGAAACTTTACCTTTCCACAACGAGACCAAATAACATCGAAAACTATATTAAAAACATAAAACATAGCGAGAATAAACTGCTATGTCTGACGTGTGCTTTTCGGCCATAGACCGCGTTGCTACTTCCTTGCTTCTACCAATGGCGCGTTTGTATGATTCTCTGCTTCTAACAAAACATGTAGAGTGCGATGCAAATCATGTGCTGAGCCTGCTGAGGCCTGATGTGACACTGCACAACGGCAGGTACGAAGCGGAGTTCTCTTGACTAGTAATTGCATGGCAAAATAGCCAATCATGAGACAAAAATTTTAAAGAGTCAACTGCATGTGAATTGGTTTCAGATACATTGTACTTGCAGGTCTAAACCAGGTAGTAGTACCTACTACTCCCTGTTCTAAAACAGGGATGGCTACAGACTCAGTGTGCGATGTGCAGAGTTTCGCATGTGATCAGCGGGTCTGCTATGCCTATGGTCTCTCTCGAACGAGCTGTGAACCAAGATCGAAAGGTTTGAGGCGGGTGCTTTGGCACCCAAAGCACCCCCCCCCCCTGCCTACGCCCCTGACATCGACCATGCAAGAGTCAACGGAGTTTGACAGAACGTTCTGATTGCACCGGGCTGTGGTTTGGAGATTGATACCAAGTGAAGTACATTCATTGCCCACCCAGATTGAGTAATCTTGAAGAAAATGAAAATACCTGGTCTTGTCTCATATTATCATACGAAAGGCGGAACAGTTTCCGATGCATAAAAAGACTGGGACACGAGTTCCACAAAGAGTACCACGCGATTTTTGGAACTAATTCATGCTTCAGACAACTGGCATGAAGCGATTAGTTACAACCAGACGCGTGGTACTCTGTGACTCGTGTGTTACTGATTGGATTTTGGATTGAGTACTCCATCGAAGCGAATGATTCCGCTCTCCGTAAAAAATACTACTCCTAAAGAAGTACACGATTCTCATGATAGGTACTGTACATTAAAAGCAAATTGTCTGTAATCTTTTCTCCCCAGCATGTTCGGGCTCTGCGCCTTCTCCGAGAAATAAGAATACAAACATTCAACAACACAAAGGTACCTTTTTCGGCTCTAAGCTGTCTCCGCGAACAAAATTTTACTATTGAGAACAAAGAAGCACAAATTACAAGAAATCAGAAGAAAATATGAGAACATAATGATATGGTGCATCGCTAAAGTGCAGCGGCACGGCAAACACCGACGCTTGTGAGGAAGAATCGAAACATAACTTTATCTAAAATTAGCAACTCCAACTACTTTACACTGAAAACTGAAACGTTGGAAGTGTACTTATTATATTGGTGGTATGAGTTGCAAGCATCTAGGTAATATCTTGTCAGGTCAAACTGCAAAGAGAACCTGTGTAGGTAACGATGTTCGGCATTTTAGTTCAATGCCACTGTCAAAAGGGAAGAAAATAGGACTAAAACAGAATGAAACACGGAAGAAGTTAACGCCAAGAACGACTGCATTCACCACATTAAGCTGCTCCATATCAAAGAAGGCGTAGGGGCATTGCACGCTACTAACGAGGATTGTAATACCAATCCAGGTGCTATTGGAGAGTGATATAAGTGTGATGCTCTTGAGCGGTGCTCCCTAATTCCAGCTCCCCACCCGCTCCAGAGTTGTCCCCGTGCATCACGTGACCACGGAAGTCCACACCGCCATATGCGTTATCCTTAGCGATTATACCGGTACCATACGCCTCATTCGCCTGCATACTGATGGGAGTGATATGAACCGTATGATGTGGGTGATCATCAGAAGGGCACTGATATCTGAGCTCCATTTCGCCTTCTGTATGGAAGAAAATATGTGAAGAACCAAAATTGGCTGAATAGCATATTACACGATAATGATTCATGATGGGCCAGGGCTGACTATTTTTGTTGAATGTTGGGCTTGGATGCAGAGCCAGGGATTATTGCATGAGCTGATTGTTTAGTACCTGGTGGTGTTATTGGACCGTATAGCGTACCTAGTAGTTCCTTGGTCCTTTTTAATGTCTATAAATGTTGTAATTTGTTTGAAGTCAAAGTGAAGATACCGTTTTGGGATTCTGGAGTTGAGAAGTGATGTTTCCAAAATGTGTGAGGGGCTGTGTTGGAGTTTACGAACAATTAGAAACGTTTATACTGGCTCATGTAGGAAATATCACTACAACACTCCAAAACGGCCTCTTCACTACGGATTATCAATGTATGTCATACCACATTAGCGCGCCTAGCTCATCACCAGATGCATTGAGGAGAGATATTGAGTGTGTCAATACATCTAACGACGTAGTATGATCACTAGACATCTATTTGGAATTTATATGAAGCCACACACACGAAATAGCCACCAGATCCAAAAATGTTGCTTGACGTCATTTTCGGACATTTCAGCTATTCGTTACATGATATAATTATCTGTAACCAGGTACATCTCTATGCCCACATTTTGGGTCAAATATCGTCACCTATGACAAAATTTTGTCTGTCGGAATGAGTATTTTGTTTACATTTCTTAATGCCGGTGCCGAAAACGAAGGCACTTGTGCCAGTGGTTGTGAGACTTATCCACTCACCCCCACCGTTAGGCGCTGCATCTGCCGCTAGGGTTTATCGGGTGTTAGCGGCCGTCGTGAATTCCCTTAGGGAACGGACACGATAATTTACTTTACTTAATGCTGGTTCATTCGACTTTCAAATGTGCTTCTTCCGAAAAGCAAAAAACCAAATATTAAAAAGAGAGGACCGGAAGTTTCCAAGTTATCGGTTTTGTCCAAACTAACCATTATAAGCAGAATACTGGTGAGTCGAAATATGCAACAATTAGCACAGAACTGATTGATGAGATACTAGAGAGGTTGCGCACAACGAAAATTCGTTAGATTTCGACCGTCTGGGTTCGAGTAACGAAAGTTGCTCCGAAGATCCGTCCAAACGTGACCGAAACAGAGCAAATCTACGAAAATAGTTTTCGTTACCTGGAGTACTAAAATACTGATAATGTACAACCCCCTGTCTTGACTCTTCGTACCCGCGCGGCTGCCGCGTCGACCCACTACGAAAACGTTCACGCGTTGTGCGCAACCTCACGCTTTACGAGTATTCGTTAGCTTTTTTCATTAAAAATATTCGTTACGGCGCTACGAATTTTCGTTGTGCGCAACCTCTCTACTGACATTCAACGACCTGACGCTTAGCTGCATCATGTATGAAATGCACACACAAAATGCGCAAACGAAAAAGGATCCTGCTTGTAATCGTTAGTGTTGGACAAAATTTGTAAACTTGTGGTCCTCTATTCTCATTTAAATCCTACACGATACGAGTTTAAAACAAATAGGTCAAGAGAATCTCTATTTTCTGGTCCTTCTTTAGCATTTCATGGATAGTTATCCGAATACAGTCTAACAGCCTTCTATGTGATAAAGGAATGTATAAAAGTATGTGCGCTCTCATGTCATACACATTGGTGTTATATTTGTGATATGAGTGTGCGTATAGTTGTATTCATTGCTTTATTCAGATTATTGTCTCCACATTGCTTGTCCTTCCCATATTAGCATCGGGACTAAAGTTTTTTCATAAATCATTGAGTTCTGGAAATTCAAACCCAAAAGGAGGTCGACGGCAGCGTCAACATCATAAAATGTAAGGGGACACATCAAAACAAGAAACATGATACCAGAAATTCCGATTGGAACGATCATATCATTTAAATTTCCCTCGGCTAACGGTGTTCGACTCGTGTTTCAAAGGCATTGCTCTAGGAAGAGTTCAGTAAATATGGAACACTGGAAGAAAAAGTTTCTTTCCTGCGATCATTTTATAATTCAGTTTAGGACCTTTTGAAGGCTACCACGGTTAGCCAGGATTCATAAAGGGTACACAGTGAGGCGCGCAACAGCCGCAGTACGTCCCAGTACAGATTTGAAAAGTATTTAATTTCACTCATGAGCTTTGCAATTCTTCATCTTTGCCTCTTCGGAAAGCTACAGATCTCCAACTATCGCCAATGGATACCCAACACGAGCAACATAATCGCCTTCATGTCTTTTGAGAGCTGCCCTATTGCGCCTGAACTCGTATACAGTGCCCGCATCCACAAATTTCACCGGTTCTTAAGTTGTACCCTAGGTAGAGCGGCGATCCAAAGTCCGGCAGATTCCTGAAGCTCGAGCGTCTCATTTGGTCCCCACTACTCATCCGTCGTCCAACCATGAGTCACAAGGAAAATCCCCGTTTGACCAATGCCGCTCGCCTTGCAAGGGATTTGAACACAACATCAAGCGTACCGGTGTGACTTTCAGTGATTCTTCCTTGCGCCATATATATATGCATTGCACGTACTGAACATTTGGAAACGTATAATACTCGTATTTAGGACTCCAGATATACGTTTAAAAAACGGATATACTCGTCCTTCGTCCTCAAAGGGCTAACAATACTTGGACTCTTCCATAACACTTCGGCGAGGTTCATACCTGGTTTAGGTGCAATAGAAGCTATCTTGAATTTCCACAGCAGGATAAAGGCCGTGACCAGTACGAGCAACCCAGCAACACCGGCACCAGTGCCTATAACTGCAGATCTGGAGCTGCTGGTTCCCTCACTGCTTGTATAGGTATTGTTTTCAAACCGATTGGTCGCAACCTGATCAAACGTTGACGAATAATTGTCACTCCGAGACACATTTGTTGTGATAGAGTCAGCGTCGGACAGTTTGGTGCGAATACTAAACGCCTTAGATGCAGCACTGTTCCTCCCATCCGTCGTAACAACAAAGGCTTTGACAGTGTACATTGCATTGCTGGTCGCACCAGTGAATGTGACATTCCGGGTGTCATCACAGATAGTTGTCGTTAACTGAGGATTTCCTGCAGTCAGGATGAGGCAGTACTTGTCAATTGCTGACTTGTAGGTATCACTGATGGACACGATGATTTCATTATGGGTGGAAATCAGAGCGAGATTTGAAGGTGCTGCAAAAAAGGCAATCGGAGTAACGGTTAACGTAATGAACCACTGCTTGCACTTTGTAATGGGAATGTAGTCAGTCATTTGCAATTCTTACACAATCACGCAGGCTGTACTCTAAAGCATTTCATCATCATCGCCACTGTTCATGTCATTGTTATGACTGCATTATCACGTCCCAGCTACCCATGCATTCCAACTTTGCTGATGATGGGCATTGGCCGAAACGTTGATTGAATAAAGTAATTTTGAGTAGAGAGTAGAAAGCAGTGCAATTTGAGGTGTCGCTGTTTGTACACAATATAGTTTGATATAATTATTGAAGCTGCAAGAAACGTACAAAGTCACACTGCACTACACAATACTATATGAACAGTGTACAATGCAGATTTGTGTTGTTTTTGAGAATCCAACAGCCTCTCTTACGGGCAAAATTAAAAGCAACACAATGATGAGAAATCAAGAGGGGTAATTGTTTTATCAAATCGGCTATCTGCTTAAATGCATATGTCGGGGACTGGTTTACAGCAGTAAACGTGTACTTGCCTGAGGGGAGGGTGATGATAGTTGTTGGTCTGGACAAACTGCTCCAGTAGTACTTGTTTCGGATCCGTGCGAAGACCCTATAGCTTGTGTCAGAGCTCAAATTCGTATACACGTAGATGGATTGTCGTAGTGAAGAGTTGTATTCTTCTGAAAATTTCAACGTGTGTCCAACTTGGTATAGAGACCCCACTATAGGAAGGTTACCGTGTGGAGTGACGTTAGTCTTTAACTCGACATATGTGTCCGTGATTCCATATATAATTACCCCTGATGGAGCTGGAATAGAAAGATACAGAAAAATTAAATATCTGTTCAAGCATTGCGAATCTTCGGGCTTGGCGGGTCAATCACCCGCCTTGCGAGAGTCTGTGTCAAACCGTCAACCCCAATGTGAGATCCGGGGCCCAAAAGTCCATTTTATGCATCAAGGATGGCCTTGTTTCAGAGCACAAGGTAGGCAAGCATCGACAGAAACTCTAAAAGGGTGATATTATGCACATTTTCCATAAAAATGGTAACATTTTATTTTCCTCTCCCTCCCTGGAGAACTAACTGCCTCGGCCTTGTAAGGGGTTCAACAGCGCAGCTAACAATGCTATGCTTTAATAGTTAGCAAACAGAAGAAATGGGAAATGTTATCGCAGTCAGACGTTTTTTTAGGAATGGGTTTGCTCCCATACTGGAGCTCGCGCTATTCCGCCGACTTGAATTGACACTTGACTGATTCACGACTGCCGTACAGAGCACAAGAGAAGTCCATCGAACCTTCGAATTAACACGTCCGACTGTACGAAATAGTGGTTGCGACCTCGGCAAAGAGTTTTCTATGAATTGGTTTGCTCCCACACTGGAGCTCGCGCTATTCCGCCGACTTGATTTGACACTTGATTCACTCACGACTGCCATCCAGAGCACAGGAGAAGTCCATCGAACCTTCGAATCGGCAAACCTGCAAGAAAGCACCACTCACTGCTCAATACACAGTGTTTCGAGGAATTCACCCCTCATCAGTTGAGCTTGAGGAGGCTGAGGTAGAATGTGTCTGTAAAGCACCACATAATTATATAGTGCTCTCCAGTCACAAACATAACCAGGGATACAATATTAAAGAGACGCTCCGTTTCCAGTGCGACGAACACCTCGTGAACACCAGATAGCAGCGTGAGTCAGTGTCGCTCCTAGATGGGGAGAACAGACGAAGAGGACCCTCGGTCCTTCACAACGCTGTCCCCTCCAAACCAGCTAGTCGCAAGCCCACGCTGGTCACAACAGTACGAAACATTGATTGCGACTTCGGCGATGAGTTTTTTAGGTATGGATTTGCTCCCACACTGGAGCTCGCTCCATAACTCGTGTCCTTGTAAATTCTTCTATTTTAGTAGTATAGCAGTTTAGTATACGAAATGTGGCACAACCGGACCCAGTTACGGCATTAATCTGCTATGAATGTTAAAAAAACATGCGTGAACTTCAGCTTTCCACTGGGAATGTGCTGCAATATGCTCCTAGGAAATGGGATAGGGATATGAGGGGGGGGGGTGAAGGGGGGGGGGGGGAGGAGGGGAAGGGGGGAGGTTAGGGGGGACAAGGTCGGAGCGAGAGTGGATTGTGTATAGAGTTTAGACTCATGAACCGGAGGAAATGTCTGGATAATTAATAGACCGCCGTCACAAGGACATGCAACCTTGCTTGTGGCTAGCAATATATATAGGAGTCGTGGTCAAGCAAGAAAAGTATACAATTATTCATCCAAAATAATTGTTATCATTGCTTACGATTAGGGCGAGTTGCAAACGTGTACCACCCAGACGCTGAACTGTTCAATCCTGCCACTGTTTTCAAGTAAGATGAAATCATATATAGTGTGTTGTTTATGAGACTAAGCGAAACCCGGGTCATTTTGCCACACACATCCATTGTACTGAGTTCAATTTCAATGACGCCTGTCAGGAGCGCTGGTCGGTACGTGAAGCAGTATTCGGTAATGTGAGCCATGTAGGTTGCACGGTGCAATTCAGCGGAAACTCTCAGGTCATAGAACCCTCCAAAAGACATGAGTAGTCGAATCGGCGCTGAAGAATGAATATTGCACATAGACACACGACAACTTTTTCGAATCATTTGCCAAAAGGTGAGACAAAATTATAATCCATAATATCCAGATAGCAGAACGAGCAGTTGCGGTTTCGTAACTCCGAGTTTCATGTAATTATTCAATTTACCGATTTTCGTCTGATGATCGATTAATTTCGTGAAACTCGGAGTTACGAAACCGCAACTGCTCGTTCTGCTGTCTGTGTATCCCGCTCTTTGCTTTCGGCAAATTGAGCCCGATACGGACGGTGGGTAAACTTTACATGGTAATCCTGAATGACTGGCCCAGAATCTGCGAAAACCAGGCTTAGGGTGAAATTTCACAAAAAAATGACTTTTTTCCCATTTTCAGCTTCTACTGGGCATGGGAGGTCGGGAAACAAAATATTACAGATGAGGGTCGACTCATAGTGGTATTAAAAGTATCTCAAACACACCAGGGTATTGTGTTAAAAATTCCAAAAAAACACAAAATTGTTATCACAGGAAAGAAATGAAGGGAGATCCACCAGACTGAAGGAAGAGACATGGATGATTTTTGTTTAGGTGACATGACAAGGTAGGCATGTGGAGGCAGACTTGTTGTCGCCCCTTGGTGCTGCAGGCTGTAGTGGTCATGCACAGTTCTGCACGAGTTTTGTTTGCTCCTCACTCAGCACATTCCGGGACTGAGTGATACTGAGGGGCTGAAAACATGGAAAGGCATGCTCTGGCGCTACACACCACAAGGAAACTCGACTCCAGTTGAGATGCCACCTTTTGAAGGGTGAATCTAGTACAACTGTTCAGAAACAAGCAAGAACACAGCCTTTCAAACTGTCCCACTGTTCATAGTAAGCGCATAGTGTGCTGGCGTGCTGCAGTATCTGCTTGGTGCTGACCAGCAGTTGAAATATTGGCACCCCGTACAATCCCTGGCAGCTAGCTGTCCAGCGAGGAAAGTCTCGAGGGGGGGGGGGGGGGGGGGCTCTTGATCTGCTCGCTCATTCGCCTGGCATTCAGTAGCACTTCATCACCAAGGACTTCAATTCAAAACAGTTTTCACACTGCGCATCAAGACTTTTTCCTCGTGAACTTGCTGCAAACGTATGAGCTCTGCTGCGCGTGTTCCCTTTGCGGGGAGCCCCGAAACAGCTAGTATATCCGTACTTCGATTGGCTGGATCGATTTTGTCCAGGTTCTCCTCGCTATCGCCATCACGACTCTAATTGGAGACGAGTTCTTCACCATTTTCCGCCAGCAGCAGCTAGTGCAGAAATTTCGCCATCCCTGAGTGTAGGAGATGAAATCCGTTCGATTGGCTCAAAAACTCTTCGTTGTAACTAGAGTAGTAGGAGGGAATATTCTACCGGAAACCCTTTGACTTCCCTGACTGCTGAAACCTTTCCTGCCACGACTGCTACTTCTTCAAACAAGCGAGATTCTCTTTGGTTCCACTTCACTGCACTCGATCGCCCACGCGACACAACCTTTTTAGAAAAACATCATTATTTTTTCTCAAAAAAATTATTTTCACCCAAAGCCTGGTTTTCGCAGATTCTGGGCCATGTCATTAGGGATGCTAAGTTACAAAGCAAACCTGCTCACAGGGCGACAAACACCTGGACACAACCTAGCAACAGCTTGGTTCTTTATCGCAGACTGAGTGGTGGAAAGGTTATGCAGGTTCATTTTCCATCTGCTGCATTATCACTTCCGATCATTTTTAACCATATCTTGAGAGATCAAAGGCAATACCTGTATGTTTCAGTACACATTGGTTATTTTCAGCACATCACCTATATCCATAGAAATAATTACAACAGAAAAAGTTAAAGAAAATAGGCTACCGCATTGTTCGCACAGCCTGTACAATATTTAGATAGTATAAGGAGTTGAAAACTCTAGATGGGTTGAGCATATCCATTGCTTAATGCAATTATGGTAGATCGGTTTGACTGAACTTTGGTCCAGGGTATAAACCGCATAATTTGTTGTTTATAGTGAAATGCACATATCTAGTTTAGAGAAATAAAATTATGGTATGTTGCCCTCAATACGCCCTACAAAGGGTGTTAAAACAGAAAGGACAGCACAATCACGATGATCATTTCAACTATGTGCATTTAGTTTGAAGCTCACCTGGTGGATAATACCGTTGACAAAGGTAGGGACGTGCCTGGTCAGCGTGATTCGCAAGGCCTCCTCTTGGAGGATGGTAAGTCACACGAAACAAGTCACGTTTTTGTACAGGATTGCCGCGTCTCCAGGGTAATATATTTGACGTTGCATTGAAAGGAGGAGTAAACCACGTCCAAGATTGAAAATTTCCATTGGAAAAGTTAGATCCAGTAAGGCCCACCCATGCACCACAATTGCAATCTCCGCTGCCATAGAGACGAGTGCATTGACATGCACCCACTGCAGTACACTGATTGCACTCCCTCACTCTATTCAGTGCTACATCGGCACATTCCCTGTCCATTGTAGATTGGACTGTGGCAAGATCTCCATTAAGACTCTGGCAATTTAGTCGGGCTTGGTCGTACATCTGGTTATCCAAAAATGCTGTCATCATGATTTTTCCGTATGGCGCATGGCAATTCGTCCATGTTACTGACAAAACGTGCGCACACGCCCCCAGCAACACATGCGCGCATGTACACACCCAGACACACGAACGCATGCACACACCCACGCACACACACGCACATACTCACACACACGCACACACGCACGTATATGAACCCAAATGCAAGAGTATCGGATTGCGAGCATTACCTATTTCATTAATAGTAGTTTGGTTGAAAGTTACAAACGGGAAAAGTCTGAAGAAAATATTGAGTGCCACCACCAGGTCTGTGAGTAGGTTTTCAGGCACAAGATTTATTCCACACATCTGCAACATCTTACCTTGTGAACTATTACTTGCATGAGTAGCTGAAACCACTGCTGCCAGAAACGTGAGGAGATGCAATGCGATGAAGCACATGACCGTTTTAGTAAGCACTGCAAGGTCTTTCTTTGCCTGAGCGAATGTTGTAAACGACTCTTCGGCCACTAAACAGTATGAACAGTATGATGGCCTTCTGTTATGCTTTGAACTAAAATTCGATTCTTCTATCTGACCTATATCCGCTCCACACAGAACAAACTCGGTGTGGCATTTGTAGCTCGCAACTCTGCCAAAACAAGCTTTTCCAAGCGATTGAGATCGAATACAGGGTCACTACCCCTTGTAAGCATGCCTGGGCTAAGAGAATACAATTTAAGCGTTCATCTGTAACAGCATGTAGGAGAAACAAAGTCAACCAAACAAACTACAGCCGTCCAGGGACCGTGTGCATAATACACCAATGCTCTTAGTATCCGCTGATGACAAGCTGGACCCATCTGCCAGACTGCCGCCCCCAATCATTCATCCAGCAAGAAACAATCCTGATGCGCAATAATTGGGACTGCGTAGTCTACAGTGTATTGAAGTGCACTGGTACATGTACGTTTTTTAGTAATTGTGCGCGTGTTAGAGTGACATACCAGCTCATTTTATATATTGCCATCATTAAGCTGTGATCTCTACGGCGTGTATTTATACACCGGTAGTATCACTACTGTACCACAGTGCTGATAAATGAAATCCAGCCGCGTCGGCACTCAAGTTTGCGCCTTGCATGAGTTCGCAGTCCAGTGTTCGCAGGTGTAGGGCTGCGCAACGCCCCGCACGTACTTGAGTGGCGATGCGACTGGATTTCATTGAGTAGCACTGTACATTCTAGTGATTTGGAGTGGTGGTGCTGCTGCTGCTGGCTTTCTCTGCTGCTGGCCTTCTCTGCTGCTGGCCTTCTCTGCTGCTGGCCTTCTCTGCTGGGCCTTCTCTGCTGCTGGCCTTCTCTACTGCTGGCCTTCTCAGTTTGATGCACACCCGGTTTGAAACTGGCAAACCTGCACACAGTGTGCGGATCATAGTGTGACGAAATTTATAATAGCACCACCTCATGATGATTCGAATGCATGACCTCTGGGTGGTCGTGCGATAGCCGTCTAGTGACGCAAAAAAGGACGTCTCGACGAAGGTGTCCTTGCTGTGATGGTGTGTTTGTGCTTCGTGCATCACTTCGGCTACGAGCACATGGTGGCGGAGGGATGATACAATGCACTGGTAACATCTCGGCAAATCTGCGAGGTAACAAATGAGTAAGCTTAATTAACACGCTATCCCCGTGTGAAGAGAACATCTCTACAGGGAGTAAAAAGTTTGATATATCACTCAATGTTCCAGGCAGAACACAATTGTAGTGGGGTGTTGATGGCGACTAGCGAAGAGGTGAAACAAACAGTTTGCGCATTTGTCCATGTTCCGATATTGTATTTTCCTCCAAACATGCAACACATAAGTCCACAGAGCCATCTGAACGATCCATTTGTATCCGTATTTTCGGTGTGGGAACCGACACAAGCAAAATCAGAAATGAATAGCGTTGTGCGCTATCACAGTAGAGGACGCTCCATCAGAGCTAGGAGCGCTGGGCAGCTAGAGCCCAGCCATGATGTATTCACTGTACGCCTAGCTGTGGCATTGATGCAGACCACTGACCCGTAACATCTGCATTTGGCGGATGCGTGCAATGAAAGGAACAGACGCATGCATGTATGTGACTAAAGGCCTGTTCATGATCGTCAATGCATGTACATAGAACTCAAGGAAACTGCATCCACATTGTATTGCGGTGTACGGGAGTGCTATGTAGGCATGATTCTGCCTTTCACGTACGGTATTGGGCAAGAGTCGCATGAACCGAACATTCACTATGCGGACGATCAATCATCCGGAACTGTTCAGGGCATATGAGCTCATGACCAGTGACGTTTATTATATTATTATTATAAGCACTATCGCGATGTAAGCGGGGATGCCTACTTCACTTGTGCCATTCAGGATGATGATAAAGAGAAAGACAAACAGAAAGCTCAGAATGTTGAGGAACAATGCTGTAGAGCACAATAGCTGTGATCGAAAGGATGCGCTGCAGAAAGGTGAAAATTACTAGTTCATTGATATAATAGCTGGTGAGTTGTCTCGTCATTTCTGAATAATCGGTCTGGAGTGGTTTGAACAGTTTGGTCCTACTACAGTAGCAGTGACGTTTAGGACTGTTAATTGTTGTACTCTGCTGCCTTTTACGGGCAAAAGAAACACAATGGATGAAAATGCAATACAAATTTAATGCAAACCCAGAAAACCAGAAAAGAAAAAAACGGTACAATGCCTCACAAGAGGATTTACCAGAAAGTGGCACGTGTGCGCTGCTGGCAATCCTGTCAAGTGTCATAGAATGGTTTATCTACCGGTTGATGTACGGTCTCATTTTGTTCATTTACTTCACCCACGCCATGAACCTGATCGCTTCCCGTAGACAGGAGTTTCGTGGATAAGACGTTATGCAGTGACTATACGCCTCGTCATTCATTTCCCACAATTCATCAATGACAGACAATCATCATCAATGTGTCCCCACTGTCTTTATCACCCACTGCTGTCGACCGTGCTATACAACCTTGAAGTTCTGTCTCATTTGTGCCGTTGCTCTATTGTTGGACAATGATGGTACACTCATCATTCGCTCGTAATCGCTCCTTTATTTTTCTCTTTCTTTTTTAAAACTTTTCATCCATGTGGTGAAGAAGAGGTTGGTGCGACTTCGGCGATAGTAGGGGAAGAGTGTGTTGCTCCCTATATGGGAGCTCGCGGTTTTCGTGCCGACTTGAATTCTCGCTTGACTGACTCACGACTGCCATCGAGAGCACACGAGAAGTCCATCAAACCGTCCACTCGGCAAACCTGCAAGAAAGCACCACTCCCTGTACAATACACAGCGTTTCCTCAGGCTACTCAAGCTCAACTTATGAGGGGTGAATTCCTCGAGACACTGTGTATTGAGCAGGGAGTGGCACTTTCTTGCAGGTTTGCGGAGTGGACCATTCGAAGTGATGATTGTGCTTCACTTTGCAACGCAAATGACTTGTACAATTATCATTCGCCCCCGCATTCCTGACAATTCTATCCGATTGCTTTGTAAACTCGAAAAAAGGTTTGTTTTTTCACGGCTGAGCGTAGCGAAAGAGTGCAAAAAACGTATTTTTCACTCACAAATATTTTCGTGCATTTGCTCTTGTTCTGCGCAACTCCGTTGAACCTGCCATCGTGGTCTTTGTTTTTCCTCGTGGTAGTTGAAGTTGCCCGCCCACCCACCGTGGATTCATGGGAGTCGTCCGCTGTTCTTCTTGACAATCTATGCCTATGTGTTTGGCTTATGATTATGACATACACCGGTTATTATATACCATTTCTTGCTATCTCTATTCTTGGGTCCGACTGGCAGCGGGGCAGGAATTAATGAAATAGAAAGGTTTTTTGGCTGAAAGGCGTGTTTTTCCTCTAGCCGGGTTGAGCGGTCGCGGCTAGGAATGTAGGGAGTCATTGTTTTTCAGGCGCTCCCCTGCTGCCCAGTCACCCATGCTCACCACTGGCCATGCTGTTTCACTTGATTTCATGGCCTTTTCTCCCGCTTGCTGGCGGTTCTGTGATGGATTTAGATGTTTTTCGGCTATTTATCTATTATGTGGCTGCGAGTGTGGTTTTTTGCTTCTACTCATTTCTGGAAAACCAGCACGGTGGTGAGTGTGATTGCTCTGGTAGACCACTACCCAATGTACTGAACAGTCGCTTTGGGAGTGAAAAGGAATCAACTGCAGCAACATCTTGGCCTCCGCCAGCGAAAACCTAGAGTCCTCATCTGAAAATCCGTTCATGTCAGAAATTTGTTGAAACACATCTTCTGGAGGCCTTCAGTGAGGAGATAGTTCAGCATTACGACTAAAACCAGGTCTACTACACCAATACCAGCTAGGTTTAACTCTCCCTGTGGGCCATGCCCGATGATTTTGTGGATTCATTATTTATAACAAAGAGACCGTATTTTAAAGTTGAGGTATCCTATTCAGTGCACTGCTCCTAGATAATGAATAATAATTAATTTTCTCTTATGAACCCGACATACTCTTTTGGCCCTCTGATGCTAAATGTGCTTGGTCCGCGTCAGCGATATTGTTGCTTATCGTTCAGCTTTGTTTATATGTCGCCAATGCTCACTTGGTTAGTAAGGTTAGTTTGCTAGTACCTGAAAGGTCTAGCTAGATTTCGAGTGCAAGTATCTACAAGTGACAACACTCCCAGAATTCGTTATGAACCGTGAGCTCCATTTGTGAGCAACTGTGATTTCAAACAATGGCCGTTGTAATTCTTGCATTTTCGAAAAAATAACGGGATGGAAAGTAAAAAATGTGAAAACAGACTGTTTAGAGATGGCAAATATGCATGAAGCGTTGAAACAACTACTGAAGTACTGCATGTACGTGTGAAACTGAGAATGCAGTGCTCATTTGGGTGGAGCGAAAGTTTAATGACATGTAAAAGAGACTGTATAACGAAAGCAAAATAAAACATAATGCGCTGAAATAACCGGATTGAGTGTTGGTAAGTTTCCTGCCCAAGAACACATTTTATGTTTTAAAGGAAGCTGCTTGAGGCATCCTTCAGGATGCTAAAGTATGAGAATTTAAACAAAGCGACAATACACTTAGGTGCAAAAATCCTACTCAGAACGGCACTCCGCTACTCAGTAGCATACAGAGCAAATTCCGAAAACAACAGACATTGCAACAAACTGGCTTGGCAAATAGTTATCAGGTGTATGGTTCAGCTTCGGAAATTGATCTGATGCTAGCATTATCGCGCAAAGAGAATCGTGTGCTGCGAAAACACATCATATGTGAACATCCTGTCTCACACCCAGACACAAGCTTTTCAGGCTCAATCATAGTGAATCTATCCATGGACAAGGCTGTGAACTGAACAACAAAACAGTAACTATCAATGTTGGGAAGATTGTATTCGATCCGACAATAATAACTGCAAGCCGCTTACGTAAACATGTTGGATATTGTTCATGTATCTTTAATTCTTATCTTAGGTGCACATCCTGAGCAGGAAGGTGTTATCTTACATTGAAAGTATGGGAAAGAATTGATTACAGGGCGATCGAATCGCTGTGATTAACCATTCCTGATTTCTGGTCATGGTCTCTTTCAAGATGCAGCCATGTGGCCCCTGTCAGCTATGCCGTCACGTCATCGCCTCACACGAGGAGCACAGCAGCATCCTCACCAGCTTAAACTGAATTTCTCGCCACGGACCCCTGACTAACTTCTGCGCTCTTTCCCATACTGCATCGTGCCAGTGGGGATTAAATTGCCACAGATAGTTTTGGACAATCACCCAGCTCCGAAGCACCTGCAGAGCCACAAGATTGCTGCTTACCGTCACCTGCAGGAGAGTGATTGGTGCTCTGCTCATTACTGATTCTAGCCATGTACATGTATCACACTGGCCTGCCATAAGTTGATTCAAATCATAATTTTTATCCCATTCTACAAGTAGC